CACAAAGGCTCCTCCTGACCAATTAATTGCGCTACGTGAATACGCAGCCTCCAATTCCTCCGGTCCACCAGGCAGCGTGCAATTGCGTATCTTTATCTTAGCGGAGAAGTTTTCCCATCCAGAACTCAGGAACACCCACCCCGGGGGCCGACGGGGACGCTGGATGTGGATAGTGACCAGGAGCCCCGCTCTAAATAGTGTGGGGGCGAGTCTGCCTACGACTGAGACGACCAGGCGGGGGTGATAAAACAGAAGAGTCGGTGGAGTTCTCCGGGTGGGGTCCACGTCCCGTCACTGGGTACATTCTGTACACACGAGCCCCTCCCTTGCCTGAAGTCGATTCCTGAAGACTTGACTTCACTACGGAGGAGTTGGGGAAAGGTGGGGTCTGGCTCGATGCGCCCCAACCACCGTCCCCACCCCGCAGCAACCCCGCCCAGATCTGGCAGAGCCCTGGGCGATCCCGGGCGGGTGAGGAGGCGGGGAGAAGCTGTGAGGTCGAAGGCGGGGCGGGCGGCTGCCAAACCAGCCAATAGGCGGCTCTCCAGCGGCTGAGCCGAGAGAGGGCAGGGGCGCCGACACCAGCACCACCGCCTCCCAAGTTTCCCCTTGTGGATGCAGGGCGCGGGTGGCTCCGCTCCTCCCGGCGCACAGGGCCCCGAAGAGGCCGGAGGAGCGGGCTCGGGACGGGATTTGTGAGGAAGGGGAGAGGACGGGCGCCCCACCCGCTCGCAGGGTGGGGGGCTCGGTGAACGATGAAGGGCCGGCGGCGGCGGCGCCGGGAGTACTGCAAGTTTGCGCTGCTGTTGGTGCTCTACACGCTGGTGCTGCTGCTCGTCCCCTCCGTACTGGACGGCGGCCGCGACGGCGACAAGGGCGCGGGGCACTGCCCGGGCCTGCAGCACAGCCTGGGAGTGTGGAGCTTGGAGGCGGCGGCGGCGGATGAGCGCGAGCAGGGCGCCGAGGGGCGGCCGGCTGCCTCGGGGGGCGCGGGCCCGTCCCCCCAGTCCCTGGGCAACCTCAGCGGCGATGTCGCGGAGGCGGTGTCTCGCGAGAAGCAGCACATCTACGTGCATGCCACCTGGCGCACCGGCTCGTCGTTCTTGGGCGAGCTCTTTAACCAGCACCCGGACGTTTTCTACTTGTACGAGCCCATGTGGCATCTATGGCAGGCGCTGTATCCGGGCGACGCCGAGAGCCTGCAGGGCGCGCTGCGCGACATGCTGCGCTCCCTCTTCCGCTGCGACTTCTCGGTGCTGCGGCTGTATTCGCCGCCCGGGGACCCCGCCGCGCGCGCCCCGGGCGCGGCCAATCTCACCACGGCCGCCCTCTTCCGCTGGCGGACCAACAAGGTCATCTGCTCGCCGCCGCTTTGCCCCGGCGCGCCCCGTGCCCGCGCCGAGGTCGGCCTCGTCGAAGATGCCGCCTGCGAGCGCAGCTGCCCGCCCGTGGCTCTACGCGCCCTGGAGGCCGAGTGCCGCAAGTATCCGGTGGTGGTCATCAAGGACGTGCGCCTCCTCGACCTGGGTGTGCTGGTGCCTCTGTTGCGTGACCCCGGCCTCAACCTGAAGGTGGTGCAGCTTTTCCGTGATCCACGGGCCGTGCACAACTCGCGCCTCAAGTCCAGGCAGGGGCTGCTGCGCGAGAGCATCCAGGTGCTGCGCACCCGCCAGCGGGGCGACCGCTTCCACCGCGTGCTGCTGGCGCACGGCGTGGGCGCTCGGCCCGGGGGCCAGTCCCGCGCCCTGCCCGCCGCACCGCGCGCCGACTTCTTCCTGACCGGCGCGCTCGAGGTCATCTGCGAAGCCTGGCTGCGCGATCTCTTGTTCGCGCGCGGAGCGCCCGCCTGGCTGCGGCGCCGCTACCTGAGGCTGCGCTACGAGGACCTGGTGCGGCAGCCGCGCACCCAGCTGCGCCGCCTGCTGCGCTTCTCCGGGCTGCGCGCGCTCGCCGCCCTCGAAGCCTTCGCGCTCAACATGACGCGGGGCGCGGCCTACGGCGCAGACCGACCCTTCCACTTGTCGGCGCGCGATGCCCGCGAGGCCGTGCACGCCTGGAGGGAGCGCCTGAGCCGAGAGCAGGTGCGCCAGGTGGAGGCGGCCTGCGCTCCAGCCATGCGTCTGCTGGCCTATCCTCGCAGCGGAGAGGACGACGACCTGGAGCCGCCTGTGGATGAGGAGAAGCCGCTGGAGACCGAGGCCGACGGCGCCACGTAGCCCCCCGTCGTGCGCCCCCGGGACGGATCCGGGTAAGGTTCGGGCTAGGGAAGGGCCTCTGGGGAGCTCAGACCAGCCTGGGGGGGGGGGGGAGTGGGGGGGGG